AAAGGCATAGCCCCTGACCTTGGAGAGGATTGGAGAAATGAGCACCAGTGCTGGGAGGCTGGGAGTATAGGGTGCCCATGGTCTATCTCTGCATTCATAGAGTCCCTGTAACACTAGTGACAAGGGCAGGAGGATAGGAGGTGGGACCCCAGCTGGGGTTGTGGGTGGGCTCCCCTACAGCCCTGCAGGTGGCACTTGGGCATTGCTATTCTCAGAAGCCACGTCATTGCCTGGCGTTGTCAGAGACTGTCGGATGGCCAGGAGGAAAAGAGGGGGGCTGGCAGCCTCGATGCTGAGGAGGCTGTAACCAGGGCAGTAGCTGGCAGAAAGCCACCTTTCTCCTTCTCTGAAATTCCACAGGCCTTTTGTGAAAACCCACTAGGGACAAGGTTATATAGAAAGGACAGTGTACCCCCAGACTCACACTGCAGTGGAAAAGCAGGATCAGCTGGCATACAGGTGACAGCACAAAACCCAGAGCTCAGGGGCAGGAGGAGAGGTGACCATGATGGGGGCATTCCCATGTCCACTGCTCAACTTCCCATTCAGGTGCCACCCTGGAAAAGTGTCCTTGGGAATAGATGACTCCCCCATCTGTGATGTGGTGGAGGGGATGTCTGACCACACAATGTTAACAACAGCAACATAACAGTAATCCCTTTCATACCTTCTGTTCTCTACAGTTTCCAAAGTGGATTAATACCCATTGTCCCGTTTACTTTTCTGGGGCCCTCTGCAACCCAGCCCTGGATGGATTCTGGGGATGTTCTCCTTCTTGCCCAGCTGTGCTTTAGAGACTGATGCTGCAGACGGTGGATACTGGGAAGGAGAGAAGAAGATGCTGAATATGAGAGTGTGTGCATGTGTGTCTGTGCATGTATGTGTCGGTCATGTGTGTGGTTAGCCAGCTGGGCCAGCAGCTACTGCAAAGTACTCAGCATAAAAGAGGTGCTCAATTCTCACATATTGGATGATTGAATGAATGGAAGTTGGCATGTGCTGTGGAGGGGAGGCCACTAAAGTACAGGATGATTTAGAAACAGATGTTAGGAGGAAATATCAAGAAGCTGAGTTTCAGGTGTTGATTAAGAAAAAATGGTTCCAATTAATTAGAAAATGCAGTTTTTTCAAAATTGGCCATAGCCAACATCTAGGAAAAAAATATCCAGGGCAGTTAAGTTTCAAGTAGGTTGCTCTACATGAAGACTTACTTTACAGAGACTGGTTTGGCAATTGGTATCAAGAACCTTAAAAATATGGATGTTTTCTCAGCCTATATGACTATGAGACCGGAAGAACTAGATTGTGCGCGGCTACCACTGTCAACCACTTGGCAGGAGATCTGTGTAGGAGATCCTGGACAGAGTGGGAGAACAATGTGGAAGGAAACTCAAAATCATTGAAAAAAAAAAGGGGGGGGGACCAGATTTGCTGGTCTGATAGAGCCTGATGGAACCCCTGAGACTATGGCCCCTAGCTGCCCTTCAGGTCTGGAATTGAACCCACTCCTGTGGCTTCCAGCCAAACAAAAGACAGGCATATGAGCTGAACATTTACATTAGGTAGATAACACTCCTTGGAGCGATCAATCATGGGAGAATAGAAGGGCTGTGTATGCACAGGAGACAGCTTAGGGGGCAGGTGTGTATGGGAAAGAAGGACACATGGAAGAAGTAACTATGGGGAGGAAGTGGGAGGCGAGCTGTTGCATTGTGGGAAATTGTAGTCAGTGTCATGAGACTGTGTGTGTGAGCTGCTGTATGGAAAGTGAATTTGCTATAGAAACTTTCACCCAAATCACAATAAAAATTTTTAAAAATATATGCATGTTTTAAGATAATTTATTTTCATTTATTCATTAAATATTTATGAAGCTTCTCTGTGCCAGTCATGGAGCTCTGGTAGCATAGTGCCTAAGGTATCAGACTACTAACCAGAAGGCTGGTGGTTCAAATCCACCAGCCACTCCTTGGAAGGAAGATTAGGCAATTTACTTCTGTAGTGATACGCCTTGGAAACCCAAGGAGGGGTTGCTGTGAGTTGGATCCAACTCCACAGCAGTAAGTTTGATTTGGTATGTGCCATTCCTGGTGTGAGCTGCCAAGTGTACAGTGGTGATCAAAACAGACTCAGTTCTTGCAGGGAGCTTACATTCTAGAGGGGAAGGCACAAATTAATCAAGTATTTATATAAACATTTAATTAAAAATTGCAACAACTGATTAGAAGGAAAAGTATAGGGTGCAGCAAGAGAGGGTTACAACAGGGTGGGTCCTAATTAGAGGAGACAGTCAAGACAGGGCTCTCTGGGGAGGAGCATTTAATCAAGGTGCAAATGGAGACCTGAAGGGTGGATGGACATTGCCAGGTGTTGAATGGGGAGAACAGATATTTGAGATGGAGAGAACAGTATGTCCAAAGGCCCTGAAGAGGAAAGAGCTTATGTAGCTTGCTTGTGGCTGGAGCACAGTGAGTAACAGAGAGGGCAGGAGAAGATGGTGCTGAAGGGTCTGGATCATGTAAGATCATGGCCATAGGCCATGTTGTGGATTTGGATTTAATGGAAAGTTTTAAGCAGGGGAGTGGATGACATGGGCTAGTTGGAGTGGAGAATAAATTGCGACTGAAAGTGGAAGAGAGGGGAGATGAATTAAGAGATTTGTGTAGTCTAGGGAGGAAATGATGGTGGCTGTGACCAGGGTAGTCCTAGGAGGGATGTGGAAAAGAAAGTAGTTTCAGGATATGGTATTTGGGTGTGGACTGCATGTGGGTAAGAGAACCAGTTCCAATTATGCTGAAGAACCGTGTGCAGTGGATGGGAAGGGAGGAAGGATGTGGTCAGGGAGTGGTATGTTTGATTGAGTGATATTGGAGGAGGGGCCAGCAATGGTGATGACTGGATCCCCAGTGTGAACAAAGGACTTAGTGACTGAGGAGGAGTGTTGGCCATGAAAAAGGTAAATGAGAGGTTAAGAAATCAGCTAGCCATCAACACAGCTGTAGAAGCCTCCAAAAAATAAGTTGTAGTAGCAAAAATTTGGAAGTAACCAAAATGCACAACTATTAGGGGTAATTAAGTAAATCATGTTATGTCCTCTGGGCAGAATATTTTACAACTATTAAAGATGTAGCTTGCACACACTGTGCAGCATGGTGCTTGGTTAAGTTGGGGAGAGCCTTCCCAACATCAGGAGTGACTATCTCCTTTGGACTGAAACTTTATTTATGAGTTTATTTTTTTTATTATTAGAGAACAATGTACATATAGAACACTGGCCCTTAGTTTATAGCTCAAGGAGTTTTCATCGTAACTAACATGTAGGTAAGATACAGAACATCATCCAAACCAAAAACCAGTTGCTGTGGAGTCAGCTCCAACTCGTGGTGACCCATGTGTGTCAGAGCAGAACTGTGCTCCACAGGGTTTTCTTCTTTAAATCAGAATGCCCGCTGTATTAATTCACCATGAGAAACACAGCTCTCAAGCAGACTGAGTTCTTGCATTTCCTGATTAATGCCACCTCTTTACATGAGAAGTTGAATTAAAATCAATGGATCATTCATAGGAGCACAAGATCGAAGCAAGGGAAGTTAATGGCCCCTAGTTGAAAATACATTTTACATTGTGACCTAGTTTAACTCACTACTGTCAAGTTGATTCTGACTTATAGCGAGCCCTCCTTGGGTTTCTGAGGCAGTATCTCTACAGAAGTAGATTGCCCAGTCTTCCTTCCGAGGAGTGGCGGGTGGGTTTGAACCGCCAGCCTTCTGGTTAGCAGTCAAATGCCTTAGGCACTATGCCACCAGAGCTCCTTGTGACCTAGTTTACACATACAAAAAATGTAACAAAATTTTTACAAGTCAGAACTTACCTTCATTACTCACAAGACACTGATATTTTCTGTTATTCTGTTTTCTGTTATTTCAAATCTGTTGTTGTGTGCTGTCGAGTTGATTCTGACTCATAGCCACTCATAGGACAGAGTTGAACTGCCTCATAAGGTTTCCTAGACTGCCCACTCTTCCTTCTGAGCAGTGGCTGGTGGGTTTGAACGGCCACCCTTCTGGTTAGCAGTCATATGCCTGAAGCACTATACCACCACAGCTTCTTTCCTAGACTATAATCATTTTTTTTTTTTTTTTTTTGGGTAAAAGTTTACAGAGCTAATTTATTTTCCATTCATACACATTTTGTTTTATGACATTGATTGCAATCTCCATAATATAACAGCTCAGTGTTTTCAGTGGTTGATGTTTTTGGAATAAGATTGCCAGGGCTTGTTTTCCAGGGCCCCTCTGGGTGGTTTGAACCTTTTGGTTAGCTGCCAAGCGCATTAACCATTTGCATCACTCGGGGATAGAGCATGATCAGCCCCTCAGATGCAGCCTCGGTGCCCTCACCCTCCTGCACCATTCTGTGCATGGAGCACGTAGCCACTATCTTCATCACAATTGGTTTTGCCTTAAATCTTATTTAATTTGTAATTTTAAATAATTTACTCAAGTACTATATGACATTTCCTCCTGTCTCTCCAGACTATAAAATAGAAAATCAAAAACAATATGCTTAAAACCATGTCTTTTTAAGGAAATGCGGGGTTTTTGTGTCGTTCTCTTTTCTAGATTTCCTGAAATGTGTTTGTATTTATTTTTGTATGAAAGAATCCAGTCTTTTAAAAGATCAACTGATCGTTCACTTTCAATGAGTCTTTGTGGGAAAGGGCTTGGAGAAGGAAGGAGGGGGAAAAGATTCAGTCCAAACAAATGCGTGTTCTCTGAGCCACTGTTGGTTTGCTTTTCCTCACTCGCATTGTCTGTTGAATACAGTGGCCCCACAACGTGGGGACTCAGTGCTGATTTAGGGAGGAGAAGGGCTAGGAGGGGACCGCTAGTGTGGTCTTGGCTTGAATGATGATCCTTCCCTCCATCCAAGCCTCTGACCCGTGGGCCTTCCAAGGTGTCTTTGGAGCCTTCACACCTGTTCCTCCTTTCTTCCCACAGGTAGAAAAGCTTGTGAAATATTTGGATCCCAACGACCTTGGGAGAATCAACTTCAAGGACTTTTGCCGGGGAGTGTTCGCCATGAAAGGTGAGGTCTTCTGGGTGCAACGAGGCCAGGGGCTCACTCAGGATTTTGTCCAGCTGAGGAGGCTGGCACAACTTGAGTCCAAGCTGATTTCTCCCCATGAGGGTCTCAGGATGGGCCTGGAAGTGGGCCCTACCCCCAGTTACACGTAGGAGCTGCAAGGGAAGGACTTGGGCTCCTGCAGATGCCCCATCCATGGAGAGGCTGAGGGTCTCTCTGTACCTCTGCCACAGAGTCCCACTCCTGGAGTCAGGGATGTCTGGACACACAGGATTCAGGGATGGTCATTTCTGCCCTTCTCATTGTCTGCTCCTGACAGACAGGCGTTCCCTCTTTACTTTGGTTTCCTCTCCTTTTTTTCTCTCCCTCCCTCCTTCTCCTTCTCCTTCTCCTTCTCCTTCTCCCTCTAAGGTGACTGACCATCCCAGTTTGCCTATGATGGAGGAATTTCCCAGGACATAGGACTTTCCTGTTTTAAAACCAAGATAGTCCTGAACAAACTAGGATGAGTTGGTCACCCATCTACTTCCCTTTTTAGTTTCATTTATTTGTCCCCTCCTTCTCTTCTCCTTCTAACTCCTCCTAATTCCTTCCTTTCCTCCCTGCCCCACGCCCCTTATAGTGGGTCAATATAAAATGCCTCTCTGTCTTTTCTCCTAAATTTAGAGGCCAGTTGTGAGAGAGACATGGGAGTCAGAATATGGTCGCTCTTACTGCTAAGCTGCTTGTCTGCAGAAAGTGGCTTAGGTCACCAGCCAAGTGGGCTTACTAAGGCCTCCCCCCAGCTGCAAAGAGAAAACATGGTTTACTTCTAGGAGAGCCAGATTATTCCTGTTATCTGTGAAGGAAGCCATGTTTCCCTGTCCTGTGTGGGTCAGATCAGGAAGAATCCTTCTCTTTCGGGTATTTCAAGGTCCTGAGAAGGTGGGAAGTATGTTAGTAGAAGCAAGGGGCCAAGGGAAGTGAGACGTGGGGTTGGAGGTATGACACAAGCAGGCCACTACACAGGTACAAACGCAACCATTGCCGTGGAGTCAGACCCAACTCACAGTGACCCTTCCTTGGGTTGCCAAGGCGGTATCACTACGGAAGTAGATTGCCCAACCTTCCTTCCAAGGATTGGCTGGCGAGTATAAACCACCAGCCTTCTGGTTAGCAGTCAAATGCCTTAGGCACTACACTACCAGAGCTTCCTAGTTTATGGTAAGGTTCCATTCCGATGATTCTGTCAGTCGGTTCTGACATAAGTCAAATATCTTTTTTATTTTTCAGTTTTCATTATTATTGCCTTTTATTATCTGTATCAAAGGAGCTCTAGTGGTGTAGTGGTTAAAGCATTTGGCAGCTAACCAAAAGGTCAGTGGTTCGAACCCACCAGCCCCTCCCTGGAACAAAGATGGGGTAGTAAAGAGTTATAGCCTTGGCAACTCTATGGGGCTGTTCTGCTCTGTCGTAAAGGGTCTCTATAAGTCAGAATCAACTTGATAGCAGTGGGCTTTGGTTTGGTTTATTATCACTATCTTTATAAGTCCAATCTTTGTTTTTGGGGGTTGGAAACATTACATATTGGCTTTCAGTGGCATGACTTATTTTGCTAGACTCAGTGTAGGGGGTATAAGCAGTGCAAGTGTTACACTTAGAGAAACGTGAACAGTTTAGCTTTAGATTAACAACTGATGCATCTTATGATACGAAATTCTGAATAAGGCTACATTCCTCCCCATGGACCTTCTTACCCAAGGCCCATAGTGACCATGAGTCAGAACCAAAGCTGCATGCCAGGCTGAGGCTCTGATCTTTTGCTGTCTGTCTGTCCATGCACAGGGTGTGAGGAACTGCTGAAGGACGTGCTGTCCGTGGAGAGTGCAGGGACACTGCCATGCGCACCTGAGATCCCAGACTGTGTGGAGCAGGTGAGGGGTGGGGTGGGGCCCTCCCTGAGCCGGATTACCCCGGCCCCAGGCCCCTTGTGTCTGGAGGGGGTGGGGGAGAACCTCTGCAGCCCGCCTTGCTCTTCATGGTCTTCTTTCCTTTGCTTCATGGTTTCTGTGTCTGGGAGGACCCAGAGCTTGCCTTTGGGGCTTTGAAGTCAAGAAGTAGTTTTTGGAAGTCAAGGGAAAGTTTTTATGTGGAACAAAACTTTCTTTGTTGGTTACCAGGGGTGGGAGGGGAAGGGAAGTAGATTTTTATAGATATAGATATAGATATACCAAAGATTATTAGTGGTTCTGGGGGTGGGGGGAAGCTTTTGTTTGTGGGGCATTGAGTTTATGCTAATGGTCGTAGAATATTTTGGAAAAGGCTGTCAATAATGGTGGCACAAAATGAAAAATGTCATCATTGTCCCTGAGCTGTAAATGTGGAAGTTGTTAAGTTAGTGAATGTCTTGGTGTGTATATTTTCACTATAATAAAAGTTAAAAAAAAAAAAGAAAGAAAGAGTTTTTGGAGCTAGAGTCAAGAAGTCTGTTTGGGAGCCGCAGCAGAGAGTGTAACAGCTGGGGGGCCAGCGCTCCTTACAGGGCATCTTTACTCCTCCTTCATGGTACTGAGGAGAAACTGAGGCCAGAAAGAGAAAGTCACAGGCTGAGGTCACAGCAGGCAAGACTAGATTTTTTTCCCTTTTCTCCAGTACCATAACCCACTGAACTGACAGGCCCCAGTGTTACCATTGCCAATGATTTGTTTATCATAAACCTTTAAACTATTTTTCCAAATATGTGCAAGTTCATACCTGCAAAGGAACACTATTTACGATACACGTGTTATCAGTCATAAAGATAAATGAAGTTCTGATACATGCTACAACTTGAATGAACCTTGAAGACATAATGCTTAGTAAAATAAGTCAGTCACAGAAGGACGGATATTGTATGATACCATTTATTGAAAGAGCTAGAATAGGCAAACATATAAAGACCAAAGTTTCTAGGCACTGAATTTCTGTTAAAGGTGGTGGAAAATTTTGGAAATAGAGTTATGATGAATATGTAACATGATAAACATAATTGATGTCGCTGAATTGTACATGTGAAAAATGTTGAAATGGCAATTGTTTTGTTATGTGTATTTTTTCCCACAATTAAAAAAAAAACTTTAAAAGGAAAAAAAAAAACATGGTCAGAGAAGCATTGGGGACAGAAAAAATGGAGAAATAACCAACTTTAAGTGTTTAACTTAAAATGAAGATCAAGTACACTTAGATAACTATCTTAAATAGAAATGAAGATTAGAAGAAAAAAAAAAAAAAGGATGCCTGTGTTGACACTTTCCAAGGTCCCTTCTGGCTGAGACACCCTAGAACTAGAAGAGGGTTAACTTGGTTTCTCGTTCTGGCAGCTCTGAAACCTCTTCTCCACCTGTGGTTGGTGCCTCATCTGGACCCTAAACACATGAGTACTTTCTATCGCTGAAAGAGGCTTAAGATCCTGGAGGTTGCTTCGGCCCACACATACCTTTTGGGATCCGGCTAAGTCAGGGTTGGGCCCTGTGGTCAGGACTGGGTGAAGAGGCTTCTGAAATGAGGACCCCACATGCTGAGGGCTGCCTAGCAAAAATGGTATTGGAGGATGCCCAGGTTTGCAGGTAGCAGAGACCAAGGCGTGATACCAGGTGCAGGACCAGGACCTCCAAGGTCAGAGTCAGGTGGTTGAATGTTATAGTGCTGTGCCCAAAATAAAACCTTCAGGGATGAGGGAAAGAGCCAACTCCAGGCAAGTGCTGAGGCCAGCTCCTACCTGCCTGGATGGGTCCACTGGATGTGGGACACATTGAATATGAGTTTGGAGCCAACTTTTGAGACCAGGATCAGAATAGAGGACCCCCAATGTAGGACTAACACTGAGCACAGTGGGAGCTTTTCTGAGTGGGCCTTTCTAGATTGCTGAACAGGAGGCAGAGTGAGGAGATGAACAATGGAGTCACACAGAAAGAACTGTTCAGACTCCACTTTGGCCATTAAATGCAGCCTTGGACAATTTACTCTCAATCTCTCTGAGCCTCAGTTTCCTCAGCCATAACACAGAGCTTGTACATTAGTTTCATAGGGCTGCCATAAATTATGGACTGGGAAGCTTGAAACAACAGATACTTGTTCTCTCACAGTCCAGAGCCTGGGAGTCTGAAATCAAGGTGTCAGCGGCAGGGACATGTTCCCTCTGAAAGCTCTGGAGGAGACTCCT